CTTGCAGTAGTAGTGGAACCACTAATATTCATGAAATTATATTTTTTGGTTTGTTAACCTCTTCATTGATGAGGGGGATCCATGTGGGAGAAATATCCAAACTGGGTTGGCTGATCGGATTGGATGAACATGCCATATGAGCTGATTCTTTGTATTTCCTGTATCTGCTGTTGCAACAGCAGATGCAGGAAATACAAAGAATCAGCTCCCACTGATGGAACCGGTTGTCGGTTGTTCATAGGTTGTCTCTACAGATCAAGTTTTGTCCAGTGATTGAGACTAGCTCTTTCTAAGGGGCCCAACTGAGTAGGTTAAACCTTCCCTATACACCTGAAGACGGAGACAGATCCAGTCTCCGAAACGTTGTGGTTTTTTTTGTCTTTTTTATATACCGGACGATGGGTGAAGTCCAAAATAAGCCAAAAGAAGTATAGAATGATCAAGTCGAGGAGGATGAGGTGAGCAGGTCATGTAGCACGAATGGGGGAGATGAGGAATGTGTATAGGATAGTGGTGGGAAAGCCAGAAGGAAAGAGACCACAGGGAAGACCAAGGCATAGGTGGGTGGACAGTATTAGAATGGATCTTAGATAGATAGGATAGCGACCTCCGTAGTCTAGAGGTAACGTTCCCACCTCATGACTCGTGGTACGCGGGTTCAAACCCAGCGGAGGTCGTGGAATTTTTAAGGGCGGAAAAATTCAGGGAACGAGTCCTCCAGGAGGGACTTTAAACCGTGTGTCCTGTGTCGTAGCTTTACGGCACGTAAAAGAACCTCATATCTCCAAAGGAGGTCACTGAGCCAAATTCAAGGACATTTCTCGCCCAGCAGTAGTCTCTAACGCCTCTGATAGATGGGGGAAGCATTATAGATACGGCTAAGCCAGTAGAGGGTGAACTCGCTGGCCCGGTCGGGACTGATGGTACGCACCAATATTGGTAGGGTATAGAGACTGGTAGAATATCATAGAGGGAAGCACAATGGACCAATACTGGTCTAAGTGCATGGGGAAACCCACCCTCTCCAATAACTAACTAACTAACTGACTAACTAACTAACTAGAGAGATGGGATGGGATGGTATGGATTAGATAGATCTGGCTTAGGATAGGGACCAGTGGAGGATTCTTGTGAGTACGGTGATGAACCTTTGGGTTCCATAGAATGCTGGGAAATTCTTGAGTAGCTGCAGAATTGGCGCTCCTCAAGAAGGGCTCAGCTCCATGAGTAAGTAAGTAAGTAAGTAAAGGAAAGAGGTGTCACTACTGTGGCTTGAATCATTCTGGCACAGGACTGGTTCTGCTGACACCCTTATGCCTTAATGTGAGCAAATTAGATATTAAATCTTCAGTTTCTGAAGCTTTGATAAGTATGTAGTAAATATCCAGATATTTAGTTTGTTACATAACAGATTAATTTAGAGGTTCAAGCCTAATAAATACATATAATGCATTGTACCCTGCCTGAGCCATCTTCCAGTAGGCCTAAGCTTGTTGGGTAATTGGAGTTTAGCTTTATACACACACAAGTATGAATGCACGCATATATGTTGTAAAAGTAGAAACATATAATTTATTTATTACAGGCATTAACTGATACACTACATGAAGAATACTATGTTCTGGAATTTGATGCCACATCTGGTACAAGTTTGTCAGTGCTTTGGAGGAACATACTACCTCCATCTTTAGTTATTGGTTTACTGTTGGACCCTGAAGATGGAGGCAGTACTTTCCTACAAGAACTCCTATCAGACTGCATGGTGTCACATCTCAGATGGTTGTCCTCTTCGTAGTTATCACCATGAGAATCTCAGATCCGACATGCTACTTGTGAAGATCATCTTGTCAGCCTTAAATATTAACTCTTTTGCATGCCTTTACCTTACAATGTATATACATTCATTTTATGGTAGTCATATGGTGATGATGGCTTTTTCAGAATGTGTGTGCATTCTGGCCCATGGAGCAGCAGTCCCACATGAACCCAGTCCCTTATATTAGAATCACATTGAAGCTGGAAGATAAAGCCACACACTGGTCAACTCACACCATTTCTTTTTCAGAAAATGATGCTGCAGTAAGTACAGCTATTCTGACCACAGTAGAACACTAGGAGTCAAGTAAAAACTGTACAGTCACCTCTCTTTATACAACTTAAACTTGAACTTGAAGTTTACTTCCCTTTGTGATGTGACAACATGTAGTCAGATAGTGGTGTACCAGTCTACACATTGTCACACCTCTTTGTAGTCACTGCCTTGTGAACTTCAAATCTCATACAATTCACTGATTTCCTGTCCTACTGAAATTCCTTATATGTCAGATCAAAACATAATATCTCTTATGTAATCTTTCTACACTGCTTTTGACATTTCTCGTTTCTCAGTTAATTTTAATCTATTTAATAATGTGTTTTAAACTGTAAATGTTAGACAGCAGATGGGACAACAGAATCTTTTGTCTTCCCTTCTGTTACCTAAGATGTGGATCTACACGGTGTGTCCAGGATCCGTTAGAACCCTTTTTTTTTTAATTCACCCTGCAATGCCATCTGTAGGCGAGTTATGGCGTTAAGATTCTTGAAGTTTCAGCTGCGGATGTCTATAATTTCAAGATGCACGCATCACTGCATCATGTGTTCTGACCCTGAATGTAACAGTACTGTTCTGACACTTGTCGGAAAATGGCGGTTGAACAGAGAGCCAACATCAGATTTTGTATGAAGATAAGCAAAACAGTCAGAGAAGTGTACGAACGATGAAAAGTGTGTACAGTAGTGATTGTTTGAGTCGCTCAAACATTTTTCAATGGTATGCTGTATTTCATGACAGCAGGGGGGACATTGAAGATGCTCCACGTGAAAAACATGCCAGAGTGGAACACTGCAAAGATGTAATGGTCAGCCCAAAGTGACACAGAATTTACAAAATCAGTTGTTACTGGTGATGAGACATGGTGTTTTCAATATGAGCCTCTCATAAAGCAGCAGAGTGCAGCGTGGTTGAGCCCCAAAGAAGCCGAAACCAAAGAAAGTGCACATGCAGAAGAGTCGAGTAGAGACACTGCTAATCATTTTCTTCGATTCCAAAGGAATCATTCACAAGGAATTTCTGCCAGAAGGTCAAACAGTGAATTCTGATTATTATCTCGGAGTCCTCAATCGTTTGTGGGCGAGAATTCTTCGAATTCAACCTGAATATCCAGAGCAAGTCTCCTGGTCGCTCCTCCACAACAATGCCCCACTCCATAAATCGAAGATCGTGCATGGTTTTTTGGCCAGAAAAGGTATCACAGTCCTTAATCATCCTCCGTATTTGCCAGATTTGGCTCCAGCAGATTTCTGGTTTAAAATACACAAAATTACATATAATTTTGCCTCACATTTTGTATGGGTGTGAAATTTTTCTCACATTAATCAGAAGTTTCATAATCTGCACTGCTTGCCAAATATTATTAGAATGGTCAAATCAGGGAGGATGTTATGGGCAAAGCATATAACAAATGGGAGAATTGCATACAGCATTTTGGTATGAAAACCTAAAGGTAAAGAGCTAGGTATAGATAGGAGAATAGTGTTACAACGCATCTTAAACAAATAGGATATCTGCGTGTGAACTGAATTCATCTGGCTGAGAACAGGGATCAGCGACAGGCTCGTGAGATGGCCTTGTGGACAGGCATGGTGATGCTTGCTGGGAATTTCAAAAGGTGCAGATTGCACTACTTGTGAATTTTGCATCTGAGCATGATAGCAGATGGCACTGCAAATATTCACTGTTTTGAATGTTAAGGCATATCCACATTACTCGTGCTCGTGCTCCTCTGGCTTTTACTTGTGCTCGTAAATCTTCGTCCACACTATTTCAGTTGCTTGCCAGGCTTCGGCACATGAGGATCCGTATATTTACTTGTAGTGTGTATAGGCTGTAGTCGTATTTTAATTTATTGGCTATAGTTTTTAAATTAAAAATTAAAAATTTGCTTGTCTTGTGACTTGTCATATCATCTACATTACTCATGAGCATAGCGAGTCACACGAGCATGAGTAATGTGGACGCACCTTTACAAGTAACATGTTCCTACACCACATGTCTTAATTGGGTAGATTATAATGGACTTCACATTTCAGTAGTGCACAACATGGTGGAGAATGTTAGTGTACCTTGAAATGTTAGGTAGGGATAATACACGACACTTCAGGTTTAATGCTTTCACAGTTAATGTCACCTTTCCATCCTGATTTCCCTTTGTGTTGCTAATGAGACTTCAGTTCAGGCTTGCAAGTGAAGTATTGACTGCACTGGTAATCCATAAAATAAGACTGAAACTGTTAAAATCATTTGTGAATGTTTAAGAATATGAAGAATGGTGAAGTAGACAGCTTGATTAGAACAGGACAGAAAGAATGATTTGTTTGTTTTAGAGTAAGCCAAAGGATAGAATTGTACACATCTTACAACTGAATGGATGGAAGAGTAATGAGATGCTTCCCCCTTCAACTTCTGTCATGTTGCAGTTTTGGCATGAAACTGAGCGGCTCTATGGTGGCAATGGACCGATAGTTGTAACCTGCCTGTGAGTAAACTATTGTGGTCTGGTCCTTCAAAATGCTTGGATAGTTAATTTCAGTGCAATCTTTAATCAAAGAGTCTAAATTTGTAATCTTGAAATTTGTTTCAAGGCTGACTTTCAAATGGAAGATGTCTCAAAATGATAATGCATATTGTTTGCATGTTTATGTCCTCTATAATGATTTTTCAATGAATATCTGATTTGCATGAACTCCTATATGCATTTCCCAATTTGGTAATCATACCCCCAGGGAAATCGCCTCCTGTACCCATTGGATAGGAGGCTGGGTGTGCTATAGACCTGGTTGGGACTCTGTGGTGAAGAGAAAGATATTGCCCCTGTCAGGAACACAATCCCAGCCATCAAGTTTGTATCCTATCCTTATACCAACTCCTGTTTCAATGTAGGTAAATTTAAAATCTAAATACCTGTGCCAATAGAAATCTAGTGAGCCAGCACCAGGCAGCTGTGGCACACAAATGGAACAAGCAAAGAGTAAAACTTATTAAGATAATATAACATATTTTAATGTAGGATTTTCCATCTACTGAGATTCACAATCTTGCATACCGTGTGAGATAAATAGCTGCTGTTCCTACATCATGGTTCAAATCCAGGGATGGACTGATTTTTGTGACTGTGGCTTTCATCCTATTTGCTCCAGATTAAAGCAAGGCAGGTGTGGTAAAGATTTCCTTGTACTTTATTATATAGATTACTATGCCATGAAGACATATGGGGGATTAGAGGTATAGTGCCACCATTCTTGACCTTGGCACAAGATGGCTGAGAGTGGTAAGCTTCACGCCCTGGCCGTTTTTCCCCAGGGGGGAAACAGCCTCCAATATTCATTGAATAGGATGCTGGGTGAGCCTCAGAGCCGGTCTCAATGTTATTGAGAAGGGAAAAATCTCTTGCCCCTTCTGGGAGTCGAACTCAGGCCGTCCAGCCCATTGCCTTTCACTATAACAGCTGAGATATCCCATCTCTTTGAAAGTAGAGAAAATAGCATAAAATAAGGCGCAGTCAAGCATAACCACATTTCTACAATTCATCATTCATTATCAACTACAATTAGCTGTAGCAAAGCATGCAGTGAATAACAGAATCATTAATTCATTTGGTACGTAATCTTCATGTTGAAATTAATTCCCTCAAGTAGTTGTTGTACTAGAAAGGAGGAATTAAAAGGCATTAAACAGAGCTTAAGTTTTAATACAAAAATTCACAGAGGAAATATACTCCTGGCATCAGTTTCACACCTGCATCACCAGACCTTAGCCATCACATTAAATGTGATAACTGTTTACTATTTTTGTAGGGCTGCGCCATAATTCAAGTTGTTAGTTGCTGGCTTCCCACCGTGGTGGCCCAGGTTCGAGCCCAGGTGTGGTCATGTGGGATTTTTGATGGACAAAGTGGCACTGGGGCAGGTTTTCACAAAGTACTTCAGTTTCTCCTGCCAATCTTCATTCCATCAAGTGCTTCACAATCACCATCATATATCATCTGGGGCAGGTGCAGTAGACCAGTAGTGGCTGCAGTACCAAGTGCACTCAGTCTCACTCTACTAAGAATAATAATAAAAAAAATACTATGTTCATATTGTCCTGATAAGGTGGCATCTCTATTTGATGTTTCCTCTTCAAGATTTACTCTTTCTAGTGTTCAGTTTCAAAGATCCTAAGTCGGTATTCTCAGTGCAAATTTTTTCCATTTAAGATCTCACTCAGTTTAATGTTCAGATCTACTGTTCCCCAAAGAAATCTTACATGAGGGTTTCCCTGCAGTTACTGGTTTTGTCATGCCCAAGAGCTCTCTCTGCATCTCTAAAGGTCCAAAAGAATATTAATATTTCTGCATTAACCCTTATTAATGAATGACTGAATTTTTACAGCGATGGTGCAAATGCATGTGGATATTTCTTGGCACTGGCATTTCTAGTGGAGAAAATTAAACTGGAACAAGAGTGTGATGTCTGCCATGCTGTTCGGATGGTGCGTCAGAATCGAGAGCAGTTTGTGCCAACTTTTGTGAGTACTGTTAAAAATATTCCACATAGTAAAATACAGAGAGCCTTAATCCTGTTTTTTTTTACCCGTTATCTCTGACTTTACTATAGAGATTATAACCTGTGTAAATATTCATATTGGAAGTAAATGTGGGTTATAAAATTCTTGTTTCTTCCTGTTCCAGGAGCAGTTTGAATCCCTGTATGAAGCAGCCATAACCTATCTAAACTCATTTCAAACATACGCTAACTTCAACTGACTTCAAGAAGGGAGAACCCAATTTGCAGTAAAGTAAACAAATATGCACACTTTCATATTCTGTCTGTGTAGAGAATTGATTCAGTCTTGAAGTATAAGTGCCTAAGATGCATGTGTAGAACCATTGTAACATTCAACTGAAAAATATCACCTAATCCAAAGTTCTCGAATAGTTGTGTATCATTAACTTTGTGTTTCGTTCTTCACATCTGTAGACAAGCCGTAGCTAACGCAGATTTGCAGATTTGTCTGTTGAAAAGGACCAGTAACTAGGAAGAAATTATGTTTAATGTACTTGTTTATTGGGATAATGAAACAAAGTGTATAGCATTTTGAGTGCTGATAGAGGGGGAGGAAATTTAAAAAAAAATTGCAGCCAAGTCACTTATAATGATCAGCCTTTTCATTGAAAAGCATATGTTTCTTAGAATTTCATATAAAAAAATATTCAAGCTTCAATTTTTAATTGTGTTCTTTGGTAATGGTAGACCTGTACTTTGCATACATATGTGTGAATTCAGTTCCTTAGACACATTGGTTCAGTTCAGTGATTCAGTATTGAGGGGGTGGGTTTCCCCATGCACCGCGACTGATAGTCTATTGTACATCCCCCTTTTAATTTCGACCGTCTCCATCCCCTACCGATACTGGTGCTCACTATCAGCCCCTTTCTGCCAGCAAGGTTTCTACCCTCTACTTGGCAGTGGTATCTAATAGTTAGTCCCTCCTCTGGCAGTGGTACCTAATACTTTAGTCCCTTTCTGCCAGCAAGGTTTCTACCCTCTACTTGGCAGTGGTATCTAATAATTAGTCCCTTTCTGTCAGCGAGGTCGTCCCTCCTCTGGCAGTGGTACCTGATACTTCCCCCATCTATCGGAGGCATTGGAAACTATTTGGGCGGGAAACTTTTTGGCCTAATTTAGCTCAGAGGCCTCCTAGAGGCATGAGGTTCTTTTACGTACCGTTAATCTACGACACGGGACCCACGGCTTAAAGTCCCTCCCAGAGGACTTGTTCCCTGAATTTTTCCACCCTTAAAAATTCCACAACCTCCGCCGGGTTTGAACCCGCGTACCTTGAGTCATGAGGTGGGAACGTTACCCCTAGACTACGGAGGTCGCTAGACACACTGGTTACAAATATTATGGTTTAAATATAAACCACTGGAACCTCTTAATTCATACAGATTAACAAAGTGAAGGTCATATTATCTGCTCCAGGAAGGAGAGGGCGCTGACAGTCAGTGAGCAGTATGCCCAGAAGGAACAGAAGTATAATTTTGCATTGCAACTAATTAATTTTCAGTGTAAGTTGTTTCCTTTATGCTAGAAGATGGAGTGTGTTATATTTTGACAATTTATACTATGAGTATATGTGCCAAAAATGTATCAGTTATGCCACAATTAAAACATGAGAAAATATTTTGGGGCAACTTTTATTTGAAAATATCTCTCAATTAATATATGAAGAGCAATAGTACGATATGCACACAGCATTTCCAGAATACCTCTCTTCAGATAATTTCTTACTTACAAAACTGTGCATCATCGTGGCGGCCTCAAGTCATTGCCCACCCCTTACTCAAATATACAACCTGTCTGCATGTATTCTTATAAAGGCTTGTAGAAACACCTGTTAAACATCCTCATGGTACTGGTTTCATTGATGGCATTATGTTACATGTGCCTTTGTATTGTCTATGTACCTGCATTTTTCATCCCCAAAACATGGCTGTAAGGTACGTTTCATCTTCCTTATAAGGTCTACATTGATGTCTAACTACGTCCTCATTTTAATAGTTAATACTGACACATCACCATGTTCATAAAAGTTGACTTGCAGACAGTTCTTTATCTGTCCATAATGTCTGTGAATTTGCTGTACACTTCCTCATAATGTACGACAGGCAGAGAGATACAACCCTGCATGTGCCTATAACCCAGGCTATATAGACATGTCTGTATGCCACCATAGTACAAGCTGTTAGATGAAAATCTGCATCATCATAGTGAAGGCTAGCACACATCTCTCATTGTCCCTGTAATACTAGTCTCTGCCTCTCCACCCAATATCACAAGCTGTATATCCATTGTCCTAACTCAAAAGTATTGGCAGTTCAGATGACTCTTTCATTCCTCATAATTCGACATATATCCAGACTTTTCTTGTAATACTAGCTATGAGTATATATGCACCTATTCGCTGAATACATTCGAGAACCAGCGGGGTATCAGAGGTGCATCGGAACATTTGAGAACTTGCAACCAGATACAGCATCCTTACACTCAGTGACAAGGATTCCTTCATAGCAGACGTCGAGCAGCAATAAGGAAAGTGAGGCATCACCAGTCAAACGGTTCACGATTGCAGTGACACGCAACAGACTTAATTCCACAGAAAGATATGAACCACAACAAAGTTTAAGGAATCGAAATTTCATGCTCAGTGACAGAATTATTGAGCAATTGAGATAATATAAATTAATGGAGACAGATCAGTAAATTGTTTTGTTCCACTGACTGATTTATGGGAAATAAGGATCCTTTATTTCTATACTGTTCCACTTTTTGTCTGTGTGTTAATGCACCAACAAAAACCAGAATTGTCGTAAACGTTCTATATAGTGTTCGCACTCAAAATGTGACTGTAAACCCATGGACTACGGCTAGGGCTATAAAGACGCAACGTGACACCTCTGTAGGACCTCATATAGATGCTACATAGGTATACCCTATGTACCTGTAATAGGTATAAAGCACCTGTGAGGGCCTGGAGGGGGTGCTATTATGATAGGCATAAAAAACCACACACACACACTAACAAAGGAGAGAGACCATGTGTTTGAATTAGGCCCTGCAGTATCCACAAGTCCCTACAGATGAGACATAATAGGCAGAAATGTGTGGCATTTACATTAGGCACTAAAAAAGAGTCATAAAATAAACCAATATAAACAATGTCTGTATGAGGAGTCATACAATATCATGTATGCATTCCTAGTCACCATTTGTGCTACATGCCCTGCCCATCTCGTTTTCCTTGACTTGGTCATTCTAATTATACTTGGCAAAGAGTAAAAGTTATGATGCTCCTCATTATGCAGTTTTCTTCATCCCTCTTACATCCAAATATTCTCAGCATCCTGTTCTCAAACACCCTCAGTCCATGTTCCTTCCCTAATATCGGAGACCAAGTTTCACACCCATACAGAAACACAGGCAAAATTATAGTTCTGAATATTCTAATTTTTATGTTCTTAAACAGCAAATGAAGACAAAAGCTTCTGGAATGAATGGTAGCTGAATTCAGTCTCCTCTTGATTTCTCCTGAATCAGTTTTTGATTTCTTATAGTCATTCCCAAATATCTGAAGTGCCACATTTATTGAAGGATCTCTTAGCTATCTTTATGTCATCATTTTTTCCTGCATTTTGGTGATGAGACAGCAACATGTGTTTACTTCTAGACCAACCTCCTTACTAGCATAATTTAAAGTTTCTTTGTTTTTCTTTGTGGCATCTATGTTATCCCCCAGGAGATTCACGTCAGGATAGACCTGAAACTGATGTGTCCCTTTTAATTTCAGTCCCACCTGATTTCCCTGGACATTCCTAATGGCATATTCTAAAGCAAAGTTGAAAATGAGTGGCGATAAAGCATCTCTTTGTTTTAGACCTTTATGGATAGGAAATTTATCAGACAAATGTTTACCTATAAGGACTTCATTATAAGTATCGTTTAAACACATTTTAATCAGCCTGACTAGTTTCATGGGTACTCCAAACTCTGAGAATATTTTACAATACTTCCCTCCTAACTGAATCATAAGCTTTCTTGAAGTCTATAAATAGCTGATGTACTGTCTCATCGTACTCCCATTTTTTCTCCAGTATTTGATGAATGCAAAACAGTAGTTGATCTGTTATGTCAAAACCCACACTGATGATCTCCAATAATTTAATCTATATATAGACTTAAACTTGAGAGAAGGATATTGAATAAAATTTTGTATGAAGTTGATAGCAGTGATATCACATGATAACTACTAGTGCTTTATTGCTGTTCTTGTGAATTGGTACAATAATAAGACTCCTTCCACTCATTAGGCAGTTCTTCCTTATTCCAATTGTACACATAGTCCTATGGATCTCAGACAATAATATTTCACCTCCTTGAACAGTTATTCTGGAATTTGATCACTACCTGGAGATTTATACCTTTCAAATTTGCAATAGTAATTTCAGGCTTAGTTGCTTAACATCACTGACCTTATGTATATATCAATACCTGAGAGAAGTAGTTCTTCCACCTACTCAATTTGTCTTTCCAGGAGATGTCAAATTAAATTTATGAATGTCAGGATGTGGGAACATTGTACTTTTGACATATTTTTGGATGTAGCAAAGTTTACTACTCTAACTCTATTATCATTACTAAATGCATGCAAACTCTCATTCCCAGTTGTTGGTTTCACTTCAGCAATGAAATCTCATATGGTATTAGAGAATTTATCAAACACACATTCTAATTCTTTGTAGAACCTGTCCTTCATGTCATCACTTTTATCCTCTGTTGGGGCATGAACATTCAGACCAGTATCACACAGCAACTTCTTAGTACTATGTATGACATCCTATCACTAACACACTTACTTACTTACTTACTCATGGAGATGAGCCCTTCTGGAGGAGCCGCCAATTCTGCAGATACTCAAGAATTTCCCAACATTTTATGGAACCAGAAGGTTCATCACCATGTTCACAAGAGCCCTCCACTGGTCCCTATCCTGAGCCAGATCTATCCAATCCATACCATCCTATCCTCTCTTAAGATCCATTCTAATACTGTCCACCCACCTACGTCTTGGTCTTACCTGTGGTCTCTTTCCTTCTGGCTTTCCCACCAATATCCTATGCGCATTCGTCTCTCCCATTCGTGCTACATGATCTGCCCACCTCATCTTCCTTGACTTGATCATTCTAATTATACTTGGAGAAGAGTACAAATTATGAAGCTCCTCACTATGCAGTTTTCTCCAACCTCCTGTCACTTCATCTCTCTTCGGTCCAAATATTCTCCTCAACACCCTGTTCTCAAACACCCTCAGTCTATGTTCCTCCCTTAATGTCAGAGACCAAGTTTCACACCCATACAAAACCACAGGCAAAATTATAGTTTTGTATATTCTACTTTTTATGTTTTTGGACAACAGACGAGAAGAGAAAAGGTTCTGGACTGAATGGTAGCAAGTTCAATCTCCTCTTAATTTCCTCCTGAATCAGGTTTGTTATCATTCCCAATATCTGAACTGTGCCACATTTTCAAAACATCTGTTTCCTATCTTTGTCATGATTTTGCCCTGCATTTTGGTGACAAGACAGTAACATATACTTAGTTTTCTCTGTGTTTACTTCTAGACCAACCTCCTTACTTGCATCAGTTAGTTTGTGTGTTTTTCTTTATAGTATCTACATTATCACCCAGTAGATTCACATCATATCACTAACAGACTACTCTTTTAACTGATGATTCTCTTATTCATGAAAAAAAAAACCTGTACCTAATTCATGATTCCCACTCCCCTTTCCATAGAAAAAGGTATACTTGCCTGCTGGTTTGGTGCCACCTCTGCCCCATCTGTACTCTCACTACATCTAACTTACATTTTGATAGTTCTTTTGCAACTGTCACAAGCAAACCTGCCCTATACATACATCTGACATGCTACATAGCAAATCTTGTTTCTGTTTTCTGTAGCTTCAGGTCATTTACCCAAAGAATCTGCCCAGGTCTGATGCTCTTTTTGACATTTCATAAGCTTATTTCTTATGAGTTGTTAGCCCCATTCCAAGTTCCCAAGCTGGAGGATCACTTGTCAGCTGTCTGCAACTGCTTATTCAATATATTCACAGCTACCCTCCATCAGCAACCTGAGGACATGCCTTGCTGTGGTAACAGGGGACCCGCCTAACGTGGATGAGGCCCTGTAGAAGTCATACATACCTTATATATTGCATCTATAGGAGGCTCTGAAGAAATATAATACTAAACCCTCTTCAACACATAATACTGTCTTACCACCCCATAAACTAGCTATACAGATGCCTTGTAATAATACTTTGTATGTAAGCCCCCCTCTTCCTCTTGATAATATGGACTACATGGAGCTGGAATAGCTCAGCCAATATAGTGACTAGGCTACGGGTTGAAGAACCAAGAATTCAATTTGTATCACATATCTGCAATGAAGGAAACCCCTTCACTGTGCCCTTATCTTAGGTCTTCACCCCTAAGAACATATAATGCAATGCTATGATTACTATTAACATCGATAGCTTGGTCAATTTATCACATACATTTATGATGTTATGGCAGTTACAATGATTTTCAAGTTCTCCATGGCCAACACCTACAGTAGGAATATGGGCATAAGCAGCACGGAAAACCAGCTCTTGCACACTGCCTTAGCGACATATCACTAAGCATTAAGTATATGTAGATTCTAAAGGAAACCTTCAAATGATCTAACTGAATTAAACCATTTGTGCAAAGTATCTGGCAATGTGTGTTTGTGTGGTGATCAACTTTCTCTTCACTGCAGGGAGGTGACTGTGTCTCCACACTGGACACTCACATGGTTAAATATTGCTGGGCTACCAATACCCTGCCTGTAGTTTGTGTGGCGATCAACTTTCTCTTCACCGCAGGGAGGTGACTGTGTCTCCACACTGGACACTCACATGGCTAAATATTGCTGGGCTACCAATACCCTGCCTGTACTTCATGTTATGTTGAATTGTGTATATTTTCCACTGTGTGTTGGTGAGCATCCTTGATGTGGTGACTGGGTGAGTGTCCAGTGTTTTAGAGATTTTCAGATACACTAACCAAGCCACATCTCTTATTCATAACTGAATGCCCCCTTTTATAACTTGTATTTAGGTGAACTTTCAGAACCCTCCCACCCTTAATATGATTTCAAGACACCTTAGCAATTTTGTTCATCCTCTGTACTTTAAAATAGTTTTATTTTATATAGTTCTTTTAGATTACAATATTACTTTAATTAAAACTAGTTTCTGGATCGCCAGATGATTTCTAAAATCTGTAAAAGTGTGTAGTTCTTCAAAATACATCTACTCCCTATATGAAAACATTTACAAGGAAGAATGATGTCTCAATACCACAGCCTAAAGAGTTGGACATGGGTATAGAAACATAAAAAATAACCTGTTATTCATCAAGTGTTGTCACATGTCATCTGAACAAGATGCATGGGCTAACTTGCCTGCTTACATTGAAAGTGAACAGATTATTCTGTCTCCTTCCAAACATGGATTAAAGAAAAATTTCAAGCCATTTTAGTAAAACTTTTACTTCATATATGTACATTTGTGAAAGAAATTGGATTGGCTATTTGTTAAATAATAATGAAAAATAACACACAATGTATGTATGAAACTGAGAAGAACTGTCAACCACAACGGCAAATCTTCGAGATCCAACGCACAGTGGCCAATGGCTGGTTCATGGCATTGTCAATTCCTGAATGAAAAAACGGTTCACAAATTAAAAACAATTCATATAAGGATGTTATTCTGTTGACTAATGAGCTCCATCTGGCATCATGTTACCCTCTGCACCATTAACACTAAACAGATAACAGATGTACCTTTACCAGATCTGGACAATCCAATGGCTGCTTCTTTAGAACCTGCACATAAGTTGTACTTAATTTTGAGACATTCAGTACTAGGGAAAAATTATGGCTTATATATTGTTGCATGTAGACCTGTTGCTACATAATGACCTGATAAACAATGCCTGCCACTAGGCAAGAGATTCCTAACAAGCAAGAATGGAACTACAACAATGGGAAGTGGTGTTTTCTATGTGATTCGTGCTGAGGTGTTACAGGCAGGCCAGGTCTAAAGTTTAGTCAGTTGAGCTGGAGTCAATCAGAAGAGTAGGAGGTTGGTGTGAGATGGCCACCAGCCTGGGAGTTAGTGCAGTGCAGGGAAGTTAAAGAGTTGGTTGGTGACTTTGTGAGTCAGAGAACTACAATTCATTCATTTGAACTGTTACTGTTAGAAGCTGGAAGCTGAGGCATGGGAGAGCTTGGGAACCTGGAGTAAGGGGAATGTCTGCCGTTGGAAGCCGTTACCAGGCAATGACTAGTGGAGAATACAGCAGACTGACAACACTAGTGCGTGTGTAACAATGAACAGTAAAGTGTGGTCATGAGTGATGTGTTAAAAATGTGCAACAAATCAAGTCACCAATCCAAACCCCATCCATAGTCACTCATACAAATGACAATATTCAGCCAAATGCAATATATATAATATACCACAAACAATGGGAAATTTCGAACATATTTATTTAATGAGAACTGATGCTTATTTGGAATAGAAACTGGCACTGAACCCTGATGATCATCAGTGTCATACTGTGGTTAACTACAGAACTTCACACATTTCTTGTTTTTAAATGTTGAATTTCAAGGTTAACAAATTGAATGTCTTGTTCTTTAAAAAAATTCCTCTGATCCCTTTTATGAATCAAACATATATGCACTACTCAGTCTGCCAAGGATTTTCAGCAATATAAGTTCTGAATTTTAATATGCGAAACCCGACAGGATGTTTGTCATCACTGCAGTGCATTCTGTTGTTTGATGCAGTAACAACATATAAAAGAGAACATATGTGATATAAAGAACAGCTTGTTCCTGAATGCAGATTCAAAACAGGCAAAAGAAAAATAAGTGCCCAGGAACTCACTTAATTTCTTCTTCATTTGTAAAATATAATGATCCAATAAAAATGTTAAACTATAGAGACAGAAATGGAGGAGTTAGAACAATAAATATGTTTTATTTCCCTAACACTTTGCGGACCGCACACCCTTTAAAAGGTTTTTTGCTTTTAAACATGGCGGACCGTTCGCCTGTTAACAGGTTTTTAAAACACGATAAGCTGCAACACACTATACATCTCTCTGGCACCACCCAAGGTGCACGCAATGGCGTAATAAAACTCTGGAATATTCGCTTACTTGTCAGTAAGTTGATCTCGCTGTTTTCTTAAGCCACTATAAGTGATAATGCTTTGTTGCTCTTCAAGCTGTATGTATCAGCCAGTAGTTAAGTGTTGGGGTATGGATAAGGACAAATTCTTTTCTGATGAGCCAGCTGACCTGCCTTGTGAGATGTGTAGTTATGGTGTTTGAGAGAGCAGCAGTGACAGGAGAGAGCAAAGAATTGTGGCCACAGACAGTAAAAGCGACCATAGCTCCGACAATAATGGGAGTAATAACATTGCGGGGACAGTAAAAAATTTAAAAAATCACAAAATCTAAACCCTGATTCAAACTGAAATACAAAGCATTTCTGATGAATGTGGCAAAGCCCTGGGCTACAGATCAGATGGTGGCGGCAGAACCAGAATCAGACACAGACTTAGTGCGACCGTGCCCATCCAATCCCACCCCATGCAAGCCTCATGTGGATCCCACAGGGCGACTCTCGGGTGATATGCGGAAACATACCCTCGTGAAAATTGTGAAGAGTGAACATTCCAAGGGGAAGCATCTTTCTAGGCAATGCCGTGTTTCCACAGTTCACAAAAAAATGAGCATGTCTACATTTGCAAGTTCTCTGTAATGCCACTTCACAAAGGGGAATGTTTCCAGAAATATCACACTCTCAAGCACTTTTAGGATCATTGGAAAGTGTTCTACAAAAATTTTAGTTCATAAAATTAATTAGGAAGTTTTATATTAATTTTTAAAGTGAACAGTGCACAAATTAGGATAGTAGGTTTAAAAATGACAGTCCGCAGGGTGATTTAAATATTTAAATCACCGGTCCGCGAAGTTTTAATATTATATTTTACATACTACAATCGTTTCCTAAATTTTCTTCCTTAGTATGTGGGGTTTTATACTCCAGCAAGCAAGCCTGTTAGAATTAATTGAATCTGCAGCATTAATTTTTCTTGGCTCAATAAATATAAAAAACTGAATTAAAGGTGCTTTACAGAAAATTAAATGCACGTTGCTATATGTACTATATGTTGCTATTTGCACTGGACAATTTCTGTAACTAATGTTTAGTCCTATGAAAAGATGAAAAATTAGACAGCACAAGCATTGCTGTTACAAGGGAATCCTCCGTTACCAATTCTTGAGCTGAAGCCTTCCCTCAAGTAGTGTTCCACTTCTATGGTCCCAGTACCATTTACTTTAATGCTATGTTCCTTCCTATTATTCTGCATAAAGTGATTATTTTGCTGCAGTAGGTAAACCAAAATTTAAAAGACTATAGGAATGGAAAATTCTAGTGAGAGCATAACCTTTAATGTCATTTCAGACTGGCATACTGCATTATCTAACTGCACTTTTCACCCTTTTGCAAGTTAATTTTACACACGAGTCAAAATAATGGCCCAAGAGAGACAAAACTATTGCATAAAACTGAAAACACTAAACTGAAAATACATCTAAAGCTGACAGCGATTTTCTTTTTTGCTTCTGTATTGTGGCATTGCTATTACAGTCACAAGACAGACTGTAATCCTACACTACAACTAATGCTGATTCTAAAGGGTTCTGACAATGGTGTATAAAGGGGCCCAAACACCTACGAGTCTGGCTCGGCGAGCTTGATTTGGGAGCCGGGCTTGATTAATTTCACCACAAACGCACGAGCTGACTCCCAACTTTGCAACCCACATACATGGACAAGTTTGGCTCATTGGAACCCGAGCCAAGTTGGACTCGCGAACCAAACTCGTATGTGTATGGGTCCCTTAACACCCAACTGGGTAGGTGTCTCCTCTTCACCTGATGATGTAAAGTTTCCAAAACGCTGTTTTTTCTAGTTATTAGAATACTGGACGATGGGAAAAGTCTGAAAAACCCAGTAATTATGAGGACCAATAACGTTATTTAAGCAGAACGATATGTTCTGTAATTCACTGTTAGCACTTCTGATCCACACTGAAGAGTTCAATGCTCAGCCCTGAACAATTTATGCTTACAGACCCATACAAGAAAATCATAACATTTCTGAACTTACCATAATAGCATTGACAATGTCATTCTGGTTGTTTTTAAGCGCCTTGATGGCCTTCCCACGGCTTACATTTGCCTGTGACATTACAAGATCCACATCCTTCTCCTCAACACCAGTTTCATCAACATCCTCCTCCTCTGATTCTTCCTGAATTGGTGCAACAACCTACAGCAAGAAACAGAATGACACACTGTTTCTTACTCTGTGCAAAATGTTCATTCTTTCTCCTGGCACAAGGACATAAGGGTAAAGGGGCTAGCAATTCCTTCATAAGAAACAGCAGTTCAGCAGGCCTATGAACTCCCCACTGCTTAAGAAACCCAAAGGTTCACTGCTGTGTTCACTGGGCCACACACCATGCCAGAAGAATCCAACACACAATGATTTTCTGTATGATTTTCATATTATCCTCCCATCTATTCCTGTCAGCCTAACTGTCTCGCATCCCTCCATGTTTTCCAACTAAAATCTCTATACATTTCTTACACACAAGAACACAGGAAGGGACTGTCTAAGCACTAAGCCAGACAGTGGCTCCCCTCAATTTACCAACCAGAAGCATTGGCTCGATCTACTGCCATACCCTCCCACTCAACACCATCCATTTTCAGGACTCAGTCACATATTACTGTGTTTACTTACAACAGGTTTATCAATAGTTTTGGTAATGATACCTAAAAACCATTTACACCCTTTGGAACTTTGTGTGTCAGGTTGGGTATTATGAATAGGAAAACATAAACTCGCAATTCTACCACTACAAAATAATGAACAACATATCCTCATAATTCTTTCTTACCGTTGTGCTGCCTCCTGCCTCAGCTGCTGGTGAAACTTCTGGGGCCTTGAATTTCTCTGCTGCTGCCACCTGAGCTTGTTGATTCAAGTCTTCAATCTGGAAACACAAACAGCGCACATAATTCAGACCAGAATGCCTATATCTACCATTCTGCTTTATCCAGCCAAGCTGTTTCAAGCAGTAAAACTTCTGACTTGTACTTGGAAGGTTCTTGGTTCAAATCTTGGCCAGGACCCACTGACAGCATGGGCTTCCTCAGTCCTTAGACAGTATCATAAATTAGGCCACGACCGCTTCATTACCCATCCTTTCCGATAATTATCCACCACAATCTGATCATTCAGTGCTATACTGTGTGTCGTATCAACAGTACCATTAAACCAAAACCGTAAGGATCCAGGATAGCCCAGTTGGGGCAGACACTAGGCTATGGGCTGGACAAGTGGGTTCCAGTTTCCAGCAGGGGCCGAGATTCTTACTTCACAACCACATTTCCAAATTGACTCTAGGACCCACCCAGCTGCCTATTCCATTGGTACTGGGGAAAAAGTAACCAGAGGGTGNGCCCAACAGCAGTCACTAATACCTCCGGTAGATGGGGGAAGCATTATAGATACTTCTCAGCCAGTAGAGCCGGTCTCGCTGGCTGGGCGGGACTGATGGAAAGCACCAATACCGGTAGGATATAGAGACTGGTAGAAATCATAGAGGGAAGCAAAATGGACCACTACAGGTCTAAGTGTATGGGGAAACCCACCCTCTCTAATAACTAACTAACTAACCAGAGGGTGAAACCAACTATTCAGCAACATAGAGTGCCAAGGTTAAGAAGGTGCAGACCTACAGCTCCGGACCCCCCCATACATCTTCATGGCATGGTGCCCAAATAAGCGCAGGGCAGTTTTACTTTTACATTACACAAAATAAATTTCTGTCACATGGACAAAATACAGTTTTCAAAGCAGCCTCACAGGTTACTGGCTCAATCACCACTTAGTCCGTGCTTTCAAGCAAATGCAAAATGTTCTGCCCACACAGGGCCATCACCTGGTCTTCTAATTTCTCCATGCCCATGTGAGTTGTAACATATTGTCACGTGACAAATGAATTTGCGTGGGTCTCGGATCAGTGAATCTTTATTGGACATTCACTCTTACACACCGTACAATTGTTATCACCTTAATTGTATTCTGCGGCGGCTACCTTCCAACTGCATTGTATGAAGGCTTGGTTCCAACTGTGCTCTATGAAGGCTAGATCTCAACTGTCATCCTGTAGCTCTGTTGCACTCGACTTACGTAGGTGTTCTGCGGATCGGATATGAAACACCATTCGCCAAGGTTCGATCTCATGTGTTCAGCAATCTGTTGCTTCGGGAACACTTTTTATACACTGGTAACGTGTTTCATCTCACCCGTTGGTATTCAACGGCTTTCTGTTGTTCATCTCCGGGAGAACACGTTCGTTGTTTCGGCATTGTCTATGCAACAGCCCACTGTTATTGTGTTGCCATGGAAGTATCTACTCCAAACACGTTAGAATATTTTAAAAGTATTCTTTATATAGAAAAAAGGGGGCAATCGGTAGCATAGTTGGTTGAGGCACTATCCCACAAGCTGGAAGGTTGCGGCTTCAAGTCCTGATGACGTGGATTTCTTTTCATCAATTGACCTAATTCTTCCAGCTGCACTATGGACCCGGGGTCAACTCAGCCTCTAACAGAAATGAGTACCAGGAATCTTCCTGGCGGCTCAAGTGTGGCTGGTGTATAAGCATGACAACCTCACTGCCATCTGTGAGCTGACTGTCTAGAGAAAATGTAGGAGCCTCAATGTCTCACAAACCTACAGGCCTACGCGGCCTGTTACAGGGATAGCTGTGACTTTATACAGATAAAATGAACTGCAATTACACTGCTTATATGAGCTTTCTCTTTTGTAACATCTAACAACAGCATTATAAATAAAATATGAACAGTGTAGTGTTAAATAATCTATGCTCCAAACCTGCGTGAACAACTCAGATATTAAAGAGACCTTAGTGCATGAAGATTCTCATGGCTACTATCACTGATGACAATCACACAAAAATTCATCCAGGGGTTTGAACAACACATAGTTCATGCAAAGTCCCTAGTTACTTCAGTGCAAATTGCAATACAATAAAGAACAGATTTTAAGGGAAGAGAAAGTACATCAGCTAACACTGTGCAGCACAGACACTAACCTTGGCTTCTCCAAACACTATGTACGTGTCTGACGCTGGGTTCTTGTATACATCTGGTTTGTTAATAACAAACAGTATATTTTTTGACTTGCGAATGGTGACCCTACTCACACCCTGCACCTGCAAAAAATAAACACAAACTTTGTGACAATATAAAATCACCCAGAAGCATTAGTAAAACAGGAACCAAGGTTCTCACGGCAGTGGGTATGATGGGCAGTCTTCCTAGTTGTAATATCATACAGTTTGGAGAAAGCCCAATGTTTCAGAGCAACACATGCCTCTGTCTTCAGGTTCAATGATTAAGTAAAACAGGACCCATGCTGAGTTCAGCTTTCTAGCTTGATTTATTCTGACCCTGAAGATGAAGGTGAAATATTCCTTTAAACAGTGGCCTTCCTCCAAACAACATGGTATTTACAACCAAGAAGAACATACTCTTAGAATTAATAATGGTTCTTCAAAACTTCCACTCTCAGATACTGTTTTAAAAAGTACACATGGGTACAGGGAAAACACAACAGAAGGAAGGAAGCCATTCTACAGACATACTGTACATGCACTTCCCAAATACATTTTCCATTCTCTCCAATATATGGTCTTTATTATTATTATTTTAATGCAATTGGGTACTCGCCTGGTGGCACTAAATCTTACACTGATATAGACAAGGAAAAACTATAACATAAAGGGAACAACAACATAAAACAAAGTATATACAATAAGCATGTTACACACAGTGCAAATCCAAACATATGAAGTCATAAAAGGCACGTGCTTGTGTTCGTTTCACTGCACTCGAACAAGGACACTTCACATTACTTCACCCTTTTCCTCATTACTTCACTTCACTTGATCTCTGAACTAAAAACCCTCTCAACTAGTATCTTGTGGAGATAAAGAAATGTTCATACATAGAAAACAAATCTCAGAGGCTTGGTGTCATAACACAGTGGATAATTTTGTAATTATAACACTGGCCATCTGTTCCATTACTGCATATGTAAAGGATGTCCATGTTCCACCTCCAGAACATTACCTTAACTCAATTCCACTATACTGTGACTATACTGGCACCCCGTTTACCCTAGGCTGTAGCACACTACGCGGCACACTGAATATCAAGACACTGTGAACACTCACACTGCTGCCACAATTATGTACATATTTGTATATTATGTATATTGTGTATATATAACACACAACAAATTTCTAAAATTTTTCTCTTATCTCCATCATTCCAAATTGAAAGGGGGTAAAAAAAAAGGAAGGCTTTCCCTGTAACAGACCGTGGAGGCCCATAGGGTTGTGAGACATTGAGTCTCCCACATTTTCTCTGGACAATCGCTTCAGATGGAGGTGATGCCATCCTTACACACTGGCTGCCCTTTAGCCCCCAGGAAGATTCCTGGTACTCATTTCTGTTAGAGGCTGAGCTAAACCTAGGGCCATAGTGTGGCTGGATGGATTAGGCGAACTGAAAAAAATTCAATAACCTCATCAGGAATCAAACCTGTGACCTTCCGGCTTATAGCATAGTACCTCAACCAACCATGCCACCGCGTGCTGAAATCTGAAAAGGGTCACTTTATATTTTGCCAAATCTTAAAATGTATAGAATTTTCAGCTCTATCTTTTTAATAAAGGGCCCTGGATGTTCTCTTATCCCCTGAAAACAAAACTGCAAAAGTAGAAGCCCATCAAGTACTGAAGTCATGATCAGTACCAGGAACTGCCATGCTGTAATTATGAATACTGCATGGGGACAAGTTCCACACTCACACATTAAAACAATGTAGACAGTGGCTTGCAATATTATCAGTTAAGATAGTACTGGATGCACACAACAAAGAAAACACTGCCCTGCTCTCAAAAACTGCTTCCAGGCTTCAATTTTCAACTACCATTTTTGAAATGCTGGCACAAAAATGGCTTCAATAGGAAAGTAGCAAGATATTTTAAAACTTGAAAATGTTGGTGCTCTAGGGACGTGTAAGATTATATTATTTAACACTATCACACTTCTTTCACATACAGAAACTAACTTTTCACTCTTATTCACTGTCCTTGATGAATACAAAAATATAACATCCTGATTCTATAAAGATTCATAGAATTGAAAGTTTCATTCACAGAATTAATTATAATTCTGTGGAAAAACGAATTTTTCATATTTCCTCATAGTAATGCCTATCAATGATGATCCAAATTGTGATAAATGGAAAGTAAAAAGAAATTCATCTCTTAGATGCAAGACGTATTTTTTTATTGCTAGTGGGGTGGGACTAAGTCCCTTGTACTGCGGCCACTTCTGGCCCATTGTACCAGCCCCAGATGATAGGTGAGGATGATTGTGGTGCAACTGGTGGAATGAAGATTGGCATGGGAAACCTGCCCCAGCGCCACTTCGTCTACCACAAATCCCACTTAAACAGACCCGGGATCGAACTCGGGGCTGCCACGGTGGGAAGCCAGTGACTAACCGCTTGAGCTATGGCGCAGCCCCTGTTGCAAGTAAAGAAGCAGCTATTCTTTTGGTTAAAAACAGGGTGACATTTCTTGCATGGTTGGGCAGAAACAGGCACATCTTGTGACTACTGCTGGCAATCAATATAAAATATAAGATGTCTTGTAAAAGAGCCGGGATAGTGTACTCAGTATAGCAACTGGCTATGGGCTGAATGACTGAGGGGTTGGAGTTCGAGTAGAGTAGGGTCAAGAATTTTCTCTTCTCCAAATCGTCCAGACCGGCTGTGTCCATCCAACCTATCCAATGGGTACCAGGGGCTCTTTCCCTAGGGGTAAAGCGGCCGGGGCGTGAAGCTGACCACTCACATCAAACTAGTGTCAAGGTCAGGAAAATATGAATCTATATATCTACTCCACCATGTGTCTTCATGGCACAGTACTTAATTAGTTAAGCACAGGGACAATTTTACCATAAGATGTCTTATGCTGCAAATCTCACATAATACTGGGTGTTCCTAAAAGAATGGTGGGGTTTCAGATACATATACATTTCATATTTCTTGCCGTGTACAATCATAACGTGTCAATCGGAAGCTTAACTGTCCAAATTTTATGTGCATCCATTGAAGTGCCTGTGTGTGCGCACCTTTCGTTACCCAGCACACATCAATGCGATAGTCGAATTCCTGTCACACTCGCTGCAGCATTTCAGGTGTGATGGTCTCCACAGCATGACTGATTGTTTCGGAGATCCTGGGATGATTGGGGCAATGGGGGTACATAAACCATATCCTTCATGTATCCCCACAAGAAGAAATCTGGGTACAGGGGTGGCCACCAGAGAAGGGGGGCATCTTCACCTGCAGCATGTCCAATCCATCGTTTGCCTGTCAGAAATGGAACTAGGAAAGAGAGCGATATACAAAATGAAAATTTGAGAGCCACGTTATGAATCCGTATACGTTTTGCTTTTCATCACCAAAAACTGACAGATATATATGGCAATGAAATCCCACAATTCTTTTAGGAATACCCTGTAGATTCCATTTAGCTTCTAATATTGAACAAAATTATACTGTAGAGCAAAATGATGGCATATAAATTAATATAGCAAAATCCGTCACTAACTTATTAATAATTTAAAACAAAGACTGAAATAAGGTAGGGAGGAACACAGACGGAGGGTGTTTGAGAACAGGGTGCTGAGGAGAATATTTGAACTGAAGAGAGATGAAGTCATGGGAGGGTGGAGAAAACTGTGTAATGAGGAGCTTCATAAATTGTACTCTTCTCCAAGTATATGTGAATGATTAAGTGAAAGAGGATGAGATGGGCAGGGCATTTAGCATGAATTGGGGAGAGGAGGAATACATATAGGATATTGGTGGGAAAGCCAGAAGGAAAGAGACCCCTAGGAAGAAAAAAGACGCAGGTTGGTGGACAACATTAAAATGGATCTTATATAGGATGGGATGGTATGGATTGGATTGATCTGGCTCAGGATTTGGACCAGTGGAGGGCTTCTGTGAACATGGTAATTAACCTTCAATTCCATAAAATGCTGCAAAGTTCTTGAGTACATGCAAAATTGGTGGCTTCCCAAGAACGGCTCAGCTCCTTGGAGTTTAGTGAAATAGGGTAATATAAATTAACATAACCAAACCTAACTACTCACAACATTCACACATCATGAACAAACAAGTGTCCAAATATAAAGGTAAAGTTGTCCCTGTGTTTAACTTATTAAACACTACACCATTAAGGCATATGAGGGAGTGGATGTATAGAACCACATTTTCTTGACCTCAGCAACAGGAGTGGTCAGCATCAAGTCCCGGTTGCTTTAACCCTGGGGAAAGAGCCCCTGGTACCCATTGGACAGGAGGTTGGGTGGACCCCAGAGTTGGTCTGTATGATGTGGAGAATAGAAAATTCTTGACCCTAGCGGACCTCAAACTCTGAACCCTTGGTCATCCAGCCAGTACCCAGTCACTATACTGACTGAGCTATTCCGGTTCCTAGTGTCCAAATATTTCCAATTAACTTTGACAGTAACTTACACAGACAGCAGCTATTGGTAAGTAGCATAACTGCAATGAAACATCATGTGAACATAAAAGCATTAGATTTAAATTACATGTTATTGTTTCTGGTATATATAAAAGAGTAACATACCGGTTTGAGTCCCAATTTTGACATAATCTTTCGGGCTTTCTTCTCACCACGGCTCTGCTTAGCTTTGCTGACCATATCTATGGGCAGCCCAGTTGCAGAAGCTCCTGGAAATACGCCAGCAGTCTGGCCAGTTCCGGGCTCCTCAAGCTCTGGTATCGTGTCATCCGAATCTGATTCAGTGCCTGATCCTGAGGCATCTCCTCTAGGCTCAGTCATTGATGCTGTGGCTTTGTCCAATTCAGTCAATTCCGGCATTGTCAGAACTTGCTACAGGTCAAACCAAAAATGTGGTTGAAAATATGGGTACACATTTGATGCACACTGAACACTGTGGAGGGGTCGACACCCTCCAAAAGGGAAAAAGAGACTTCAAGCAGAGGAGGAACCGGTAATGTAGAAGTGCCGGCCTCCCCAGTGTAAACTTCCAAGTCAAAGTCACATTGCGACTCACGGCCAGTCAGTAAGTCTTAGTGTCGAGCCCCATCTGGGGCTCATGACCAGATATTTATTACTGTTTGACATTTACGGTATTGTTTTTGAGGGGCGCCCTCTCTGCCGAGAGGACGGGTCTGTCTTTTATATGTGCTGCTGGCCCTTGCCAGCACAGTCTTTCTCGGGTCCGAGTCCCTTGAGACTCACGACCATATTTTACTGTCTCAAGATTTGAGATTTCCCTTTTCGTCGCCTCCTACAACTCACAGGGTCACGGTGGAGGTATTTGACCCCGCCTCCACACAGGTGTGTAAACTTCCACTCAATGAATCTTATTATAACCTAGAGTCAGGCATACATAAACCATGTCACTGTCCGTATTGTTGTAGGCTATGCCTAGCAACCACTGTTTACTCGCCGTTGCTAAGCAATGATACTTGCATTGGCACATTTGCTTGAATGTGGGCAGTTCTCACATTTATCCTGCACAATTAAACTCCAAATCCATTGTTCTCAATCAAATTTCTGCACAAATGAATCTTGGAGTATAATTTACAGTGAAATTATAATAAACAGTTATACTATACGAAATACACCATTACACCAAGAAAAAATATCAGAAGAATTACACATGTTAAGTTTTATGCTAACTGGAATTTTTAAAATGAAAAGTACATTTTATAATTTATATTTTAACAATTAAAATTATGGGGCATGTAGTAGCGTAGTGGTTGAGGCACTATGCTACAAGCCGGAAGGTGGCGGAATCAAGTCCCGATGAGGTCACTGGATTTTTTCAATTGACCTAATGCTTCCAACCGCACTTTGAAAAAGTTATGTATAATAGACTACTTGAACACTTAAATTCTAACAACATATTACTCAAAGAGCAATTTGGATTTAGGAAAGACCTAACAACAGAAAAAGCAACCTATGAACTAACTAACGATATTTTAAGTGCTCTCAATGACAGATTAATTGTGGGAGGGATTTTCTGTGATCTAGCAAAAGCTTTCGATTGTGTTAATCATGATATCTTACTATCGAAATTAAATTTCTATGGAATAACTGGCAAAGCTAATGAATGGATCAAATCATACC